CATTTCTTGATTTTTAACTTTAGGTTAATGTTGGACTCTGCTCCTGGGGTACTGGAGGCATTGTCAGAAGCTTCAGTTTTTTCATGCTGCTGTTTTCAGAGCTAGTTCTGGGTGGTGGTGGGGATGTCTGTAAGTTTTCAATGCTTCCAAGGTAGCATTATTTAAGGGGAGGTGTGGTCACTGCTCTCCTGGCCTATGTGCTAGCTTTTACTCATGAAGGGAACTCTGTGTGTGTGTGTGTGTGTGTGTGTGTGTGTGTGTGTGTGTGTAAGAGAGAATAATTTTGTTCTGCTTGGTCCCAGACTGCAGGATTAAAGCAATGGGTGGAAGTTACCGAAGCAGAATTCCGCTGGTTTAGGAAATTCCTAATGATTAAAATAATGAAATGAATTACTTCAGAAGTAGCTCCCTCTGAGGGGACAGAGGATAGAAATGGGAACTGATTGCTCAAAGGGAGGTTGGATGATAACTCGCCTGGGATGTTGTGGACTGAGACCTCGTTGCGGCGAGGCAATCCTTTTATACCTCTCCAACTGTTTCATTGTCCCCCTCATTCTAGACGTTCTTCTTCCTTTCCATTCCTCATTAAACCTCTCATCATTCCCCTTGCCCCCACCCTCTCAGCTGAAGACTTTGTCTCATATTTTACTGAAAAATTGAGGCCATTCCCTGAGAGCTCTCCCCTCCTCCATATCTCACAACACCCAGATGTCTTTTCCCAGTATCTTTGGACTTCACCTATCTCACATGACAAGGTGGTCGTTCTGGCCAAGGGAAATTTTACTAATATGCCCAAATTATATCATTTCCTCCCATCTGCTCCAGTAGATTGCCCCCACCATCATACTCATCCTCTCATTTACCTGCACTCTCCTGTTCATTATCTGCTTCCCTACAGCCCCAAGACATATCCACGTCTCCCCCATCCTCAAGAAACCCTCATTGGATCTGTCCATTTTTAAACAATAACGGTCCTGTACTCCTTCCTTTTGTTGCAAAACTCCTTAAGAAAGCCTTCTATAACAGCTGTCTCTTACTTTCTTATTAACTCTCTACAGTCTGGTTGTTGGCCTCATCATGCAACTACAATTGTTTTCTTCCAAAGTTACCAATGAACTCTTAATTGCTAAATCTAAGGATCTTTTCTCAATCCTTCTTGATCTCTCTGTAGCCTCTGGCATTGTCAATCACCCTCTTCTTCATATTTTCTTCTCTCCAGTTTTCATGACAGTACTCTTTTCTGATTTCCCCTTTACCTATATGATGGCTTCTTCTCAGTCTCCTTTTGCTGGATATTCATCCAAGTCACTCCCAATTAACCCTGGGTGTCTTACAGGGCTTGGTACTGGGTACTATTCTCTTTTCTCTCTCTACTGTTTCATTTCGTGAGCTCATCAGCTCCCATGGATTAATTTACCATCTCTGTGCTTATGATTCTCAAATCTACTTATCCAGCCCTAGCCTCTCTGCTGACCTCCAGGCTTGCATCTCCAACTACCTATTGGACATATCAAACTGCATGTCCTCTAGACATCTTAAATTCAACATGTTCAAAACTGAACTCATGATCCCCCTATCCCCAACTCTGCTGCCACTACCAGACTTCCCTTTTACTGTTGATGGCACCACCATCTTCCCAGTAGGCTTGCAATCTATGTGTTGTCCTCAATTCCTCTCTCATTTCCCATATCCCGTCTGTTGCTGAAGCCTGTTGATTTTATCTTTATAACATCTTTTGCCTATAGCCCTCTTCCCTTTTCTGACACTGCCATCACCCTGGTACAGCCCCTTATTACCTCATGCCTGGTCTACTGCAATACTCTGCTGGTTAGTCTCCTTGCCACAAATCTCTCCACACTTGAGTCCATCCTTTATTTAGCTACCAAAGTGATTTTAAAGTATAGACGTGACCATGCCACCCCTTTCAATGAACTCCAGTGATTCCTCCTAGAATTTAAAAACAACAACTCAAAACTGTTGTCCATAGCCCTTCCTAATTAGCACCCTCCCAGTCTTTTCATGGTTTACACCTCAACACATACTCTGTATTCCAATGACATAGACCTCCTTGCTGTTCCTTGAACAAGACACTCCATCTCCTGACTGGGCATTTTCATTGGCTACCCTTCATAGATGGAAGCTTCTCTCTCCTTTTCTGTTTCCTGGCTTCCTTCAAGTCCCTGCTAAAAATTTCACCTCCTATAGGAAAGCCTTTCCCAATTCCCCTCAATTCTACTCCTTCCCTTTGTTGGTAATTTCCAATTTCTCTTGTATATATAGGCTGTTTGTACATGGTTATCTGCTTGTTGTCTCTCTGATTAGACTGGAGGACAAGGACTATCTTTTGCCTTTCTCTGTATCTCCATCACCCAGCACAGTGCCTTGCACATAGCAGGTGACTAATACTTACTGACTATCGAGCCCAAAGACTGGGACCTAAGGGTCCTGACTTCTAGAGTAATGGTCTTCCTGTCAGACTATACTATACTCAAAGCCTGTTGCTTTAGGAATATGAAATAACTTCTATGTTGGTAAAGATTGATATGAAGGAAAGACTGACAGCAAAGAGGAAAAAAAAAACCTCTTGAGGACTAAAAGAACAATTCATATTTCAATTCAACAGATGTTAAATTCCTAATGGAGGAAAGCTATTGTTAGATTCGGGGTTAAAAAGATAAAAAGTCCCTGCTTTCAAGAAGCTTCTGGTCTGCTGTTCTATTTCCAAAAGTGAAAAAAATAAAAACAAACTCTGAAGCACCTCAAAACATTAACAACAGAAAAAGATACTTCTGGTGTAGGAATTAAAACTTGTTCTAGGATTAGGGATGGGCCAAGTTTAAATGAGCATTTGAAAGAAATGAAATTGTGTTACCTATGCTTTGGTTTCTGTAAGAATACTAACCCAAGAAACTTGTAAGACTTCAATCTAGGTGTAATAAATTAATGAGACCTATATTCTTTGAGATCTTTCTTCACAAAAAGGAGGTGGGTAGGGCCCAAAGGCTCTAGAATCAATTGCAGTTGAGAAACAATGCATTATCTCACCAAGAAATTGACACACCCTTCAACTAAAATGTTAATCCCTTATCCAATTTGGGGTGTGAATGGAACGTCAAGGTAAAAAGTTTAACTCTTTTAGGACCCTTATCTGTTTAATCCTACACATATAATCAACCATTCCCCCCCCCTCCCCACCCCCAACAGAAACTAGAGAAGGTGGGAAAAA